GGAGTGGGGGGGGGTGGTGGTGGTGGAGGAAACATGGGGGCCCCCATGATGGGAACAGGCGACCTGGTTATAATTGGGAAATTACTGATAGAAGATGTCTGCCAGCCCGGGAGCCCCGAGCGTCCTTGATGAGCATGGGCGGGAGCCTGGGGCGTCCTGGATAACGGCAAACCAAAGGAACTGCCGTAAAGAAACCGGCCTCCTGAGAAAGCAGGAGTCAGCAGCAGCTGCGTCCTGCACCAACTTACGGATCCAGGCTAACGGCGTAAAAGTAACTCGTTCTCCACGCAAAACAAGAGCTTCTCTCTGCAAGAGCATCAAAGCGCCGGGATGGTCCTTTGTGCCCTCGGCCCACGGCTGGGGTTGCTGCTGGCGCTGCGTTCCGACCGAAAGCCCAGCGTGGTGCGGCCATCCTCATCCTCCGTCGGCCAGACCCGCGCTGCCGGCGAGCGACCGCTGCGTCCCGAGGATACGCGGCAGTCCCGGTCCCCGGGGGCAGAGGGATGTGTCGCGCACAGGTGAGCCCCAGCGGTGCAGCCCGGGGGCCCGATCCATCCCATTGCAGGCGCCCGCTGTCGGGATGGGGCTGTGGGTAGGGGGCTGGTGGCGTGAAAGGGGTTCGACGCGCCGTGGCGGGCTCCGGGTCCACCCTGGAGAGGCAAGCTTGCGATTCTGCAAGAGCCAAGAGCCGTTCCCAGCGCAGGGACCGCGTCAGCCTGCTCAGTGTGCTCTGCCCAGCACCCCACTGCGCTGCCCTGCGCTGCTCAGCACCCCACTGCGCTGCCCCGCCCTGCCAAACCTCCGCTCCGGGTCCCACGGGCAGCCCCAGGCCGGGTGCTGCAGGGACCGGGGAGAGGGTGCAAGGTGCTGGGTGGGATGGGCACCGCAGAGGTTGTGGGGTGGGGAATAAGCCGGTTTATTAAAGCCGCGCGCGAGCAGCGAAGGGTACAACGGAGCCGGGCAGCGCTCGGAGGGAAGCGGCCGGTGTCCGACCCCCTTGGAGCACCGCTGAGTTGTCGGAGCCCGAGCGAAAGGGGCGCAACGATGTTTTTGGGCCAGCCTATGCTGGACGGCAGGCTCCCGGGAGAGGAGGTAAAGAAATCGGCTCGTTTCCAGCCCGACCGGTGCAGGTAAGGCCATCCTGCAGGCTGCGAATCGGGCGAGCGCTCGGAGGGAAGCGGCCGGTGTCCGACCCCCTTGGAGCACCGCTGAGTTGTCGGAGCCCGAGCGAAAGGGGCGCAACGATGTTTTTGGGCCAGCCTATGCTGGACGGCAGGCTCCCGGGAGAGGAGGTAAAGAAATCGGCTCGTTTCCAGCCCGACCGGTGCAGGTAAGGCCATCCTGCAGGCTGCGAATCGGGCGAGCTGCCCCCCCCCCCCTCGGTCCAAGCCTCGAGACGTTTGGGACAGGGATCCCCATCGCTTCCAGAAAACCAAGGGTTAGGGAGAAAGCCGTACGGTTTACTCGTGAACAACAGCCCAAAGCCCTGTTGCGGGCCTCTCTCTTCACCCCACGGCACGGCACGCACGCACACGCCGCAGCGAGGCAGCGGAAGAGCCTTTACCGCGTTTCCACCCCCCCCAAATATATATATATATATAAAAAATATTATTTTTTTTTTTGTAGGGG